GGCATTACCTCATCGCAGTTCCAAACTGCCCAAAGGAAGGAGGTGACTCCCTCAAGGGTCTAACAGATTCTTTTGTTGCTGCCTAAGCCAACATCCATTGTTCCTGTGAGGCTGGACTGGTTTTGTCCCATCCATGCCCTGACGAGGTGTGAACTGCCTCTCTGCTCTTGGAGAGTTTTTGCATGGGCTTGCTTTAAGTCATGAGGATACATTTTCAACCTCATAACTATATACATGAAATTATAACCTATAACCTTACTATAACATTACTGTAACAATTACTATAACAACCATGCTCAGTGCATTATGAGCCTTCCGAAGATACCCAACATGATAAACTTTGCACTGGATACCACACAATCATTTTATAAAGATGAACATGGGGGTGCTGGGTGTTCCCCTGCGGTACAGAGTGTTCACAACAACCTACCCTAAATTCTCAATTACTGAGGGACAATCTTCACTCATTACTATATTTGCTTTCCACATCCAACTCTCTGTATAACTTTTCATGAGTGATGTACCTGAATACTTGGATGCTAATATCTAAATCTTATGACTTTAAAAACAAACTTTGTATTTGTGAATAATCCAAGCACTAAACCCAGACACTCTTTTCTTAACCTGTATACTATACAATTTTTTTAACATTAGCATTAATACATTTTTAACTGTTGTGGAAAGTAAAATCAAAGAGGCGAACTTTGCCCTTTTATTGGAAAAGTGCTGATGTTTGCTGTCATTCTAATCTTGTAGGGAAATGAAGTCTGCATTATGAGAGCTGTCTCCTGTGCTCATGAGACTCTCTCATGCTTGTCATTTACACAGCTGTTTCTCCTGAGGAACGTAGCTATCACAGGGTGTCATGGCTTCAGAGGGAGAGGTGATCTCTCACAGGCAGCTTGGACCAGTCCCATGAAAGGCTTTGAATATCAGGTCCAAAACTTTGGATGTGACTTGGCATTCAAGAGGGCCCAGGTGCAGAGAACTGAACACTATGGTGATGTGCTTTTAGGCCTTGTTTATGTTGACAGCAGCATATAGGACATGTGTAGGTACGTGCTGCAGTGAAAAGCAGGCTGCATCCACACTAGTGAGTAGCTACACATGGTAATGAAAGGCTGCCGGAGACTTTTTCTGCTGCCTCCCCCACCAGAGCCTTTCCTGGCTGCCAGATCCTTTCCCTGCAGCAGGGAAAGCTCCAGCAGCAGGGAGGCAGTGGGACACTACACTGCTAAAAACTGCAGCGGAGTGGCATGGCTCGGGCATATGGAGAGCCATGTATGGTACAGACCCTACGTTTCTGGCGTCTCTGTTCTGTACTCACCTTAACAGGGCCTCACCATCTACACCACTGTCTCTATGTGCTAGGGGGGCATGCAGTGTGTGTACTCTACCTACTGCCATAAGTGCAGGCATAGGCCGAGTCCTGTGAGACGATGCTCCCTGTACCAATGGGAGCTTTCTCAGAGAGAGCAACTTCAATCCTAGGTGTAATGTTCTTGAGTAATCAAAGCTGGAAGTCACAAATGCATAGATTGTTATAGCCAAGCCTGAGTCTGATGGCCTGGGGGGCAGTCTTCTGGCCAGCTGTTGATGGAACAGGGCATTTTACACTGTTATGTTGTGGTTACTTGAACATCCTATTGAGTGAGGAGTGCTACGGCCTGATTTAATAATCAGAGAGCAGATGACTTTGATGGAGGGGGATAGTAGGGAATGCTCTTCAGAACAGTTTCTTCTTCCCATCAGAGTTGCCTGGGTTCAGTTTCAGCCAGCTGTTCTTTTTCCAGGCTTCATGTCTCCAAGGCAACGAGCTGGAAGATAATGCTGTTTCCATGAAGAGGTAGGGTTAGGTATTGTCTTTGTGTTACTGACATTTGAGTATGTGTTGACACATGGTCTCCCTCAGTGACTTCATGGAAACATTCATTAAAGTAATAATCCTTCTGAAACTGGTCTGAAGGGGAAGAAGAGTTGCTCATAATGACCCTCTCAGAGAAAGATTAGGAGCTATTTCAGCTTGATCCCTTTCACTGCTATGTCTCTACAGTGGGACAGCCATACTTTATGTTCAGTAGAATCAAATGCCATTGTGGTATGCAGAGAATGAGTATGGATCTATGCCCTTGGGTCATGGAGAAGAGGACATCATTCTGGATCAGCATAACCTATGCAGCCTCTTTCCCCTCTTCTTTCTGGTAGCTGATGGGTATGGTTGGAGATAGTTCTTTCCTAGCTTGATCAGCTTGCTCAGAAATGGGAGGTTAGATTCTGATGTTCATTTTGGGAGGTTGCTTGGCAGATTTGGGTGGGATAACACTAGAGTATTAACACTCTGTTGGTGGGGATAGGCTGACATCAGGTTAATTGTCCTCCCTTCATTGATCTGCGCTTATTTGGAAATGGGTGTTAGTCCTGTGCACCATTAGATGGCAGATTTATGTAATCTTATCTTTGATTTACACAGTTCTTTATCTTGCTTCCCTCTGTTGGTCCAGGAGGTAAGTTACAGATTTGCCCTTTATGATTTCTAAGAACGCTGACTCTTAGATTTGGTTTCACATTGGAGCAGGATGTACAATAACATTCTGCACCGGGAGCTGGAAAGAGTGAGAGTGACTTAATAGTGTCAGTGGTCGCTGGCTGACATTTTCTGACGAGATTGTTCTCCTCCTTCAAGGGCCTGATCCAAAACCCAGTAAAGTCACTGGAAGTGTTTCCACTGACTTCAGTGGTGCTTGGACCCTAAACTGCAATCACCTGCTCACACTCTTTCATTAGGTTCAATACAAATTTGGTACAGGTTAAATCACCAGGCACTGTTTTTATTAGAGGTGGCCACAAATGAGAACACTGGTCATAATCCTCCTGAACTTTGGCGAGATTTGGATCTAGATCTGAATTTCAAAGCTTCAGGCCTCTTTGTATACAAAATCAGAATACCAATTATTTATTTAAAATCGGTTTGGATAGCAACTCTGTGTCTTCTGCTCATTTCTAGTCCTTATGTCTAGTGTTTGTGCATTTTCCTGTCCTTGGGCTCAGAAGGGGGACTGCATAGCTTGTAAACTCTTCAGCATAGGGGACCAGTCTTATGTATAAGAAAATCAGAGGAGATAGGGAAAGAATATAAGCAAGTTATACCTGTTACTTCAGCTTTTCTTTAGAAGTCTTTTTCAAGTTTCAGAGTTTGTACAACTACCACAAGACAAAATAGACTAACAAGTCTAATGTAAACATTGCAAATGTTTGTTTCACTTGTTCGTCCATATTTCAGAGCAAATTGTTAAATGCATTTGACAGTGGATGTAATGTCCTGTTCCTATAACTCTTTCCGTTTAAACATGAGGTTCCATTTGTGGAATATGAAACAATTCATAGCTCTAACTAATTAAAAATGGGTACATGTTACTCCATACTATTTAGTTGTGCATCAGAGGCCAAGATAGACATTGCTTTCTTGTTGTTAGCCATTAGCTCAGGATTAATGAAACACATACTTAGAATTCGCAAAAAGAAAAGGAGTACTTGTGGCACCTTAGAGACTAACCAATTTATTTGAGCATGAGCTTTCGTGAGCTCACGAAAGCTCATGCTCAAATAAATTGGTTAGTCTCTAAGGTGCCACAAGTACTCCTTTTCTTTTTGCGAATACAGACTAACACGGCTGTTCCTCTGAAACCTGTCATTATACTTAGAATTGACTAATATAAAAACTATCAATGAAAGGGGACCACTTTGTTTCAGATACTTCTCCAATGATCCAATAGGGTATGTCTTCATGCAAAGTTAACTCAGGTGACTGGCACCTGGATCTGAGCCCCTGGGTTAGCCTACCCCAGGTGTAAGCAGCCACATGGCAATGTCTGACTATATCCTCACTGGTGATGCGCTTTCCCATGTGCATTTCTAGAACTTCTGGGGGCTTCCATGAACTTCGATGGTTCTTTGTTTTGCAGTAACCTGAGCCACTCTGATTCTCTCCCATTGAATCATGAGAGAACTTGTCTGTCCTTGTGGGGGCATGGGAAATTGTGGGAAGGCTTTGGAGGACTATAAATACTCAGGATTTTGCCTACATCCTCACCGCAAAAGGAGCATGTTACTAGCCTAAGTGAAAGCAGTACACAGGTTTTAAGCCATAACCCAAGCAGGGCTAGCTAGCCTGAGCTGAAAGTATTACTAGTTTCAGGTGAGTGGGTTTTGTGTGTGGGCTGGAGGGGGGATAGAGGTAACTCCGAGTCAGAGCCTGAGTTAACTCTTCAGTAAAGTAATTTGAAAGAAATCCTTTGTAGGCATTTTTCTTGATTGCTGTTTAAATTGTTTGATGGAAAAAATGACCTAACCTGAACATATGTGGGTTTTCTTAGTGAAATCCCCAGGACCACATATACCATCTCCATGGCCTGCCAGAATAGTTTTGCTGTCTCACACCTCTGCCATGCGTGAAAGAAAGTCCCTGCTTCTCACCTCTCAGCAGGATTTGGTCTGTGACCCAGCTGATGCCATTTCAGTAGGGGCTCCAGGAAGCCCTATTGTATGTATTGATTTAAATGTAGCCTCTGACCTTCTGTGAATCACTTGACATTTGGAAAATACTTTAATCCTCTTGTGCCTGTCAAGAATCAACACTCCACTGGTTCTGAAGTGATGTCAGTCTGAGGCTGTTAGATTTTTGAATCTGTGTATTCATGTTGGACTGCTGAGTAGTGAGCATCCACATTCAGTCAAAAAAATTGCACAAAGAACTAGAAGGGACCTCGAAAAGTCATCTAGTCCAGTCCCCTGCACTCATGGCAGAACTAAGTATTTTCTAGACCATTCCTAATAGGGGTTTTTCTAACCTGCTTTTAAAATCTCCAAATGATGGAGATTCCACAACCATCATGGATAAAGGTGGCAGTCAGCATTGAGCAGCAAAGGGGAAGTACAAACCCCATGTTAAAATTCTGTACATTTCTAATCTGGTGGAGTTACAGACTATTCTCTCTGTTCAGGTTCTAGATCCCACACACCACCATGGCATCAAAGTGTCCCTGAAGACATTGTGTAACAACAGTGACTAATGTCTCTCAAGCAAAGTTCTTCTCCATTCCTTCTTGACATGGAGACCCCAATTACTTGAGACTCTCCTTTAACCAGCCAAGAAGGACAGGGATCTGCATCACAGCTAGTGGATCACATCTTTTTAGAGTATCTGCTTTTTGTAACTCCCATGGAGCACCTCATTTCTATACTGTCCAAAAACATGGCATAGTTGATATAACTGCTGCAAAGCAGCTGCAAAACCTGCTTGGATCAGAAACTGTTCTGAGGAACTGTAAAGTGTGGCGGGGATTCTTAGAAACTCTGTTAAAATTCTGCCAACAAAATGAAGGGAAGTTTGGGCTGAAACTCCTAATCTGGATGGAGAGAGGACCTAACCCATCAGAATAGCTGTCTACCTGACTGCATCAAACTGCAGGTATTTTCAAAACCCTTCCTGAAATAGGATCTGTCCCTCTGGTCTCCCCACAGGTGTCTCATCTTCCATACACTGACCCAACCAGTCACTCAGCAGCTCATTCAGATTGCTAATGATAATATGAGGTAATGGATGTGCAGTGGCTGTGCATTGTCAATTTGTAAACTCTGCTGTGTAATCTAGCGCTGTCCCCACACAGCTTAAGCGCACACATGCTCTCTTAACAAAATTCCAAAATGAAACGCTCCACTGGGAGGAGGAGGAGGAGAGAACAAACATGTAACCCTTCTGCCCGTCAGAGTTGGCAGCAACAAGGGCCGGGTTCAATATCTAGGGGATCCATTCCAATAACACAATGCAAACCGGCTTGAGCCCCCACCCAGTGACCTGGGACAAATATATACCACCCCCGCTGGGCGCCTCCAAGAGGCAATACTTCCCCTCTCGCAAGCACATAGTCTGAGTGTAGCAAAAAGCCTTTTAATAACAGAGAAAAACAATGTGGCATTATGTTGGGGAAACACCACCAACAGGATTCATAACACAACCCATGAGCAAAAATAACCCACCCCAAGCAAATTGGGGCATACCCCTTTCCCTTTGGTTCTTGAGTCCAGCAACCCCAAATTACCCAAAGTCCCAAAAGTCCAATGACCCAAAAGTCTCTGTCCCTGGTCAGGGCAGCCCCAGAGTTCGAAAGTTTATCTGCGGAGCTTTACCTCCCAACCTGGGTGGAGATGGGACGGGGGTAAGAGGCACCTTACATGATCTGAAGCTGACCGCCCCACAGCTCCATAGGCCTTCGCTCCGCCAGCCGCCCCACGAACGCCTTCGCTCAGCTCCGCGGCCCACAAGTAGCTCCCGCCGTCCCATGAACTGCTCCACCAGCCTGTCCACAAGGCACTCCAGCCGTCCTGCAAACTGCTCCACACTATATCTTCAGGCTCCCCCACTACTAAACACAACGCTCAGTGATTTCAGCTCTTAGTCAGTTCAGCTCTTTGGTGAATTCAGCTTGTAGTAGGGGAGCGTCAGTGCTGGTGCACTGTTAGCCCAAAGTGAGCTCAGCACCTGTAACTAGACTTCTAATGAAATCAAAATTAGCTCTGATATTCCACAGTGGAGAGAGGAGGAAGTGAATTAGCATGTAAGGCCCTCACCAAGGGGCCCATGCCACCAAGTATTAATACTTGTCCCCAGCCTCTCTCAATTCACAGTTTTGGAACCCATGACCCTTGCCTAGCGAGTGCCACTTAGTTGATGGTGAGTCCCCTCCACCATAACAAAAGGCCAAGCACAGTTCCAAGCACAGTTCCCATAATCAGGGTAATAACAATTTATTCTTCCTGCCCCAATAACAGAGACACTTGGGATCCCACAGCAGCCAAAGTGACCATTTGGGCAGCTATGGCCTCATTCTAGGCGGGGTGGGTGTGCCTATGCAAATGAGATCGGCCCCTGAAGTTCTTTTCCACAACTTGCCACACCTCACCACCAGATGTCAGGGTGGAGCTCATCCTGACACTGCTTACATCCATATGACAGGTGTTAGTCACAACACAGATGCTACTGTGATGAGCACAGTATGATACCTTATCTAGAATAGAACAGGGACTGGAACATGCTCAGTGCAGGCAGAATCTCTAGAGAATTTAGCTGTCAAACTCTAACAAACTATTGGGCATAGAGGAAATTAGTTCTTTCAGAAACTCAAAGCTCGGCCAAATTTGGGTGAATTTTCATTAGGATGACTAAAAGCACATCCCTGACACCAGTGTGACTCCCTTGCCAACTTCTGAGTGCTTGACTTTGCAACCTCAATAACATTATTTGAACCTTTTTTTGTGTGTAATAGCCCATCCTGCCACAATCTATTAGAAAATGTAATATGCCTTAACTGATTTCTAATTGGTATAGCTAGATTAGTATTTATTTATTACTGTGCAACGCGTAATCTGGAACCCACTGAAATGCAAACCTATTTCAAGAACAAAACTGCTGACTGTAGCCATTTGCTACCTGTCACAGGGGAAAGTAATATAGCCAGAATCCCCTTAGGTGTATGCCTATCAAAGGAAAGGTCAGCTTCCTGTGAAGCAAATGATAAAATGCAGCCATAATGTAACTGCATGAAATAAAAACCTGTAACAATACGTTTTACCTTGTACCGTAATTATGCACATTCATTACTGTAGGAGTGAATCACTCCCAAATCAGTTACTGGCAAAAGTATATGTTTTTTCAAAGAAAAATATTTCCCATGGATTTCCCCTTGGAAAGTATTTGTTGGGGTTTGTTCATGCATATATACATGCACGCACATATAAAGATATATAATATGGGGAGAGGCGCACGCAGGACTGGGCTTCTTCTAGCCATGCCTTTTTTCTTTTGGCAGCACGCACTTTTGTGGAGTGCTGCTACAGGGTGCTCTCTTCATTGCAATGCACCAGCCTGGAGCAGCAAAGAGAGACGATGCTGCTAATTTAGCCTAAATGTCCCCTATTATTCTGTGTACCAGCTGAGCTCACATTTGTGTCATTCCTTGTGATGTTCTGTCAGGAAAGGACAATCAGGTTGTTTTCTAGTTAGAAATGTATAAGTAGGGGCAGAGCGAGCAGATCGAGGGACGTGATCGTCCCCCTCTATTCGACATTGGTGAGGCCTCATCTGGAGTACTGTGTCCAGTTTTGGGCCCCACACTACAAGAAGGATGTGGATAAATTGGAAAGAGTCCAGCGAAGGGCAACAAAAATGATTAGGGGTCTGGAACACATGACTTATGAGGAGAGACTGAGGGAACTGGGATTGTTTAGTCTGCAGAAGAGAAGAATGAGGGGGGATTTGATAGCTGCTTTCAACTACCTGAGAGGTGGTTCCAGAGAGGATGGTTCTAGACTATTCTCAGTGGTAGAAGAGGACAGGACAAGGAGTAATGGTCTCAAGTTGCAGTGGGGGAAGTTTAGGTTGGATATTAGGAAAAACTTTTTCACTAGGAGGGTGGTGAAACACTGGAATGCGTTGTCTAGGGAGGTGGTGGAATCTCCTTCCTTAGAAGTTTTTAAGGTCAGGCTTGACAAAGCCCTGGCTGGGATGATTTAATTGGGGATTGGTCCTGCTTTTGAGCAGGGGGTTGGACTAGATGACCTCCTGAGGTCCCTTCCAACCCTGATATTCTATGATTCTATGGCTTTTTGCCATGTTGAGGTGCAATGAGGAAGGATCTGAGAATTTTCCCCCTTAAATATCATTTTCTTTTGAACTAATTTCTTATGCTTGTGTGACCGGGGTCTCAGTGGGGCCAGCTGAGGTCACTCAGTTAGGATGAACTGCAAAGAGTGGGGCAGACAAACCCCAAAGCTGGTGGATATTCCAATACTTAGATTTACCAAGCCAGCATAAAACAGCTTCTTTACTACCTCAGGTTTCAGAGTAACAGCCGTGTTAGTCTGTATTCGCAAAAAGAAAAGGAGGACTTGTGGCACCTTAGAGACTAACCAATTTATTTGAGCATGAGAGCTGTAGCTCACGAAAGCTCATGCTCAAATAAATTGGTTAGTCTCTAAGGTGCCACAAGTACTCCTTTTCTTTTTACTACCTCACTGGTTGCCCAAAAACCAACACGACAGTTCCCTTAAAAAAGTGTCCCAGTCTCAGGCCTGCATCCAGGTACCCAAGTCAAATATGATGAAGATTTCTGAAAATCATATATCATATAAAATAAAAGGTTCTACCAATCCCAAAGGATCGGACACATTACCTCCCAGGTTAGTGAATATTCCAGTTCTTACCCAAATACATGCATACAGCCAATTCTTATTAACTAAACTAAAATTTATTAAAAAAACAAAAGAGAGAGTATAGGCTAAAAGATCAATATACGTATGGACATGAGTTCAGTTCTTGAGGTTTAGATTCACAGCAGAGATGGAGAGCTTTGTACCTACTAATTCAGAGATCAAAAGAGAATATTAACATTTAGATGAGTCTTGGGTGAAGTAATGTCATTGAGTTTTGTAGTTGCAAAGAGATCTTACAGAAATAGTTCATAGGTTATAGTCCAATGTCCAATATCATTGCAGTGTGTTCCATCTTAGGACTGGGATCTTAGTCCTTATGGCTTATACTTCCCTCGTATGAAGCCTCAAGCAGATCTGAGATGACAGAATCAGGACCCAAGGGTCTTTTTGTAGTGACCCATCCACTCCCAGTCTTTATTCAGGGCTAATTTGATGGTGTCCAGTTTGCAAATTAATTCCAGTTCTGCAGTTTCTCATTGGAGTCTGTTTCTGAAGGTTTTTTGTTGAAGAATTGCCACTTTTAAGTCTGTTATTGAGTGTCCAGGGAGATTGAAGTGTTCTCCTACTGGTTTTTGAATGTTACAATTCTTGATGTCTACTTTGTGTCCATTTATTCTTTTGTGTAGATGAAGTGGATTTTAGCCCATGAAAGTTTATGCCCAAATACATTTGTTAGTCTCTAAGGTGCCGCAAGGACTCCTGGTCTGTTTTTGCAGACTAACACGGCTACCGCTCTGAAATGTATTGTTTATTCACCCAACAGGCTACACTACTCCATTCTCCCTTCCAGCACCTGCTGCCTGCTCCCAACTTCCTCTTAAAAGGGTTTTAATGATTTTATGTCCATTTGACCCTAGGCTCTGGCCTTGGGAAAACAAATCTGCTTAATTGGCTGGAACCAGTTAGGTGGGCGTTTCCCAATTAATAGTCCTCCATTGTTCTCCTAAGGACCCTTGGTATTCTCTGTGGAGGAATCTGATCTCTGTCGTTTTGTTTCATGTGTGTTTTTTCCCAAACAGTCTTCTTTGATTTAACTCCATGCATTCATACAGAATAATATCAAGCAGATAAACTGATGTGCAGATAATAATCATAAGAATATTGTAGAGATCTCCCTCATTCTCCGCTATTGGCCTTCTACATATCATAGGCAAATGGTAATTCTGGTAATGTTAAATGGCTGCTGTCTGATAATCACATTTCCTTGAAAATTCTAGTGACACATAAGATAACTGAAAGATGGTAATGAAAACACCCTTTTTTTCCAGTGTTCTGTGTGGTGTTTTGTTTTTTAAACTCTGTGCAGTTTCTGGGTAGTCAGTGTTATTGGGTTCCCGTATATTGTCTCTCTCTTGCTGAGAAGACCCTTATAAATATCACCAGAGCCGGAATAATCTGTATCAAAACTGTTTTTAAAGAATTAAAAAATATACATATACTGAAAACAGACTGATCCAAATTCAGCAACGTACTGAATGAGGTGCTTAACTTAAATGACTGTAGTGGGACCACTTACATGCTTTAGGTTAGGTTAGGTATATGCTTAAGGAATTTGTTGAATCAGGGCCACCATTTGAACAGTGCTCAAACAGGAACTGCAATGTTTTAAATGAGTCCATTTAAAAAAAGTCAAGTTGACACTGCCCTTTTGACTTTGCCCCATAATAGTTTTGTTCCAACTCTCCAAATCCATTTGATTATTTAAGTGGTAAGGCTCAACTTCAACTTACTAGCCCTGTATCCACCTGCTAAAGATTGACAGAGATGGTTAAATACCCCAGAAGTAATGGTGGCAGTGTTTGTTTTAATAGGTTTTTGCAAATGTGTTTTCAACTGACTTAGGTACTTCAGGCTGAAAGACGAGCACTTGAAATGTTTATTTAAGCATGCCCTTGAAGTATCCCATTGACATAAGGTTACTTCCGATCAGTTTATCTGATCTCTAGAGATGATTGTGAAATAATCAGTGGATTTAAACAGCTCTGGTATGGTTTTGGATCTACTGACAAGTTTAACAAATATCACCCCTTTGACCTGCCCCTTCCATAGGGTTTAGATACCATGGCACCTTAGAAGCATCCAAGCTAGATTTACCTATGCCTTTTAGCACAAGCGTCTCTTGCAGTTGTATTCTTGCCACCACGAATCACTGACTAGGGGTAAAAATGTTAAAAGTGGCTAAGTGACCTAGGTTCCTAAATGCTTCAATCACTTGTCAAAATGGAATGTAGGCTCCTAAGGGCCAGATTTTCAAAGGTATTTAGATGCCTGAAGATGCAGATAGAGGCCTAGTGGGACATAAACATCAGAAACACATAAGCAGGTTAGGTGACTAAGTCCTATTTGAACCTGTCCAAAGTTTAGGGATATTTGGTTCAGTGCAGTGTTTGGGATTTTTCTTTCTTTGTATATTGTGCATAGAGATGCGGGAAAAGTATTCCCACTGAGTCATTATTACTGATAGACTTTAATTAGAAAGTTGTCTGATTCTGGGCCTTTCCCTGACAATGGCATCTTCTGCCTTGAGTATACTATACTTCATAATAGCAATGCCTCAGAGTGGTAGGAGACTCGCACAACTAAATCACATAGCAAGAGTAATTCAGCTCTCTTTAAGGAAGAAGATATATCATCATATGACCAGAACATAAAAAGAAGTGGACCAAAGCTAACCCAGAAGAGAGAGGATAATCGAGGATTTGCTGTGTCCAGATTCAAGGAGAGTATTGGGAATCTATTACCTCTTGGGTGAAACAAATAAAAGGATCTAATCAAATCATTTCTACAGAAAAGCATGCATGTTGAATTCTGAACCATTCTGGTAGTAATGTTTATGAGGGTGGCCATTTGTGGCCAGGCATAGAAAGTACATACAGAAAATTAAACATGTTTTTGCAATTCTGCATGAACATGATATTTAAAAATCAAGCCCTGCTTATCCTAAACCATGCTCTGACGGCCTTTGGTGTGGTCTTTTAGAGATGTCAGAGCTGTACACCAACTCCCAGCCAAATTCAAACCACGAAAAGAAATAAACTAAGACATATTGATTACGAGTTTGTTACTTAACTTCCAACAACACAACACTCCCCTGCTGTTTTCCAATCTCCTTTCATAGGGCTATTTTGTGCTACAAAGCAGTAACGTGATCGAGTGGCTCATAGGAGCACTGCATTAAGCTTCTACCACTCAGTCCTTCTTTGGTGGACTTCAACCCCTCTCTGGATGCTGCTTAGTTATCTATGCCAGAGACAACTCACCGCTGGGTCTCCTAAGAATCCTGCAAAAATTTTGCCCTTGGAATTGACCAGATTGCACAAAGTGGCAGGGATTTTTCCAAACTTTTCTCAGAGGGAGTGGATCCTCTGAATTCCCCACATGTTCTTTATCCCTGTCCCAAACTTCCAGCTACACAAGTTGGATGCTTGTCAAAATTTACCAACAAACTCAGTACAGCTCTCAGGGATGCACTGAAGCTATTTCCAGGAGTTTGTTACCCAGTGGTGCAGCCTCTTGCCTTATTGTGGGTGTAAGAAAGCATTTTTCTTTAAATAAATGAATGGACTCTCTAGTCTTCACTCCTTTCTTCAGCATCTGCCAACCTGATACGTAGCATATACTGAAGGTTACATTCAAGGATTTGTTTGGGAGACTAGCAGGGTGCCATCCCTGAGCCTGGCCCCTTGTGGCACAGCATGGCCCTGCAGCCACCCCACCCTCAGCTCCCCCGTGGTTGTTGCAATAATTTGCTCACAAGCCAAAATACTTCCAGAGAGGGGTTGAAGCCAGGATTTAGGTGGGAAGGCTATGACAGATACAGAGGCAGCAGTGGGAGTGACCCATGTAGTGGAAGACACAATGAAGATGACTGGATGTGGAAGCTGTGGTATGTACATGATCCTGGAGGGGGTATCTGGTAAGAGTTTTGTCTGCATGAAATGCCGTCTGATAGAGCTGATGGAGGAAAAGATCCAAGGATTGGAGATGCAGGTGGAAAGTCTGGTTGAGTTTAGAAGGGGGTTCGAGCAGATTATGGAGTAAAGACATGAGGTAGCTGAAAGGAAAAGCTCAGACTTGCAGATGGAAGCAGGACTGAGGAATTCTGAGGGGAGACTGCTGGGTGAGGAAAATGGACAGTGGAAGCATGTGACTAAAAGAACCAGGCAGAGGAAAAGACGGGCTAGTGAAGGAGAAATAGAGCTCAAGAATAGGTTTGCAGAGTTGGAAAATGAAGGGGCTCAGCAGGTGGTCACTGAAGGTGGAAGGGCAAGGGAGAAGAGAAGAGCAGCTAGTCCTATAGGAAAACGGGAAGAGTCAATGGAGACTACACCAAATATGAGTCCCAGAAGGATATAGGATGGGTTGAAGAGGATTACAAGGGAGAATAGGAATAGAAAGAACTTGGGAACAGGGGATAGACTGGAGAATAGCAGCATCACCAGCAAAAGGCAGGTCTACGTGATTGGGGACTCTTTACTGAGAAGAATAGACAGGCCTGTAACCAGAGCTGATCCAGAGAATAGAAGGATGTGCTGTCTTCCAGGTGCTAAGATACGGGATGTAGACCTGAGGTTGAAAAGGATCCTAAAGGGAGTGAGAAAGAATCCCCTAATTATCCTTCATCTGGGAACAAATGATACCGGTAGATTCTCGCTGGAACGTATCAAGGGAGACTATGTTAGGCTGGGGAAGACGCTTAAGGAAATCGGGGCTCAGGTGATTTTTAGTGGGATTCTGCCTGTTCCTAGAGAAGGGCAAAAAAGGTGTGACAAGATTATGACTATCAACAGATGGCTCAGGCAGTGGTGGTATAAGGAGGGCTTTGGTATGTATGGCCACTGGGAGGCATTCATGGACAGAGGACAGTTCTCTCGGGATGGACTTCATCTGAGTAGGGAAGAAAATAGATTTCTAGGATGGAGGTTGGCACAACTGATTAAGAGAGCTTTAAACTAGGAATTTGGGGGAGATGGTTGGGATATGTCCAGGTAATCTCCACGCCGGATTTTAGCATTGAGAGGGAAGAAAACAAAGTAAGAAAGGATACAGCTGTGGGTAGGAGAATGGACATAAGGAGGAAGGGCAGTGTGGATACTAGTCTAATAGGTCATACTGGCTGTAGAATGACCATGCCTAATCGGGTACAGAATGTGAACGAGGCCAAACAGCAAAAATTAAGATGTTGGTACACCAATGCAAGGAGCCTAGGTAACAAAATGGAGGAACTAGAGATACTGGTGCAGGAAGTGAAACCAGATATTATAGGGATAACAGAAACATGGTGGAATAGTAGTCATGACTGGATAACAGGTATTGAAGGGTATGTGCTGTTTAGGAAAGACAGAAATAAAGGTAAAGGTGATGGAGTAGCATTGTCTATCAATGATGAGGTAGAATGTAAAGAAATAAGAAGCAATGGAATGGATAAGACAGAGTCCGTCTGGGCAAAAATCACATAGGGGAAGAAAACTACTGGAGCCTCCCCTGGGATAGTGCTTGAGGTGTGCTATAGACTGCCAAGATCTAATTTAGATGTGGATAGAGCCCTCTTTAATGTTTTTAATGAAGTAAATACTAATGGAAACTGCGTGATCATGGGAGACTTTAACTTCCCAGATATAGACTGGAGGACGAGTGCTAGTAATAATAATAGGGCTCAGATTTTCCTAGATGCGATAGCTGATGGATTCCTTCATTAAGTAGTTGCTGAACCGACTAGAGGGGATGCCATTTTAGATTTGGTTTTGGTGAGTAGTGAGGACCTCTTAGAAGAAATGGTTGTAGGGGACAATCTTGGTTCAAGTGATCATGAGCTAATTCAGTTCAATCTGAACAGAAAGATAAACAAAAATAAATCTGCAACTAGGGTTTTTGATTTCAAAAGGGCTGACTTGCAAAAATTAAGGACATTAGTTGGGGAAGTGGATTGGACTGAAGAACTTATGGATCTAAAGGCAGAGGAGGCCTGGGATTACTTTAAGTCAAAGCTGCAGAAGCTATCGGAAGCCTGCATCACAAGAAAGGGGAAAAAATTCATAGGCAGGAGTTGTAGACCAAGTTGGATGAGCAAGCATCTCAGAGAGGTGATTAGGAAAAAGCAGAAAGCGTATAGGGAGTGGAAGATGGGAGGGATCAGCAAGAAAAGCTACCTTATTGAGGTCAGAACATGTAGGGATAAAGTGAGACAGGCTAAAAGTCAAGTAGAGTTGGACCTTGCAAAGGGAATTAAAACCAATAGTAAAAGGTTCTATAGCCATATAAATAAGAAGAAAACAAAGAAAGAAGAAGTGGGACTGCTAAACACTGAGAATGGAGTGGAGGTTAAGGATAATCTAGACATGGCCCAATATCTAAACAAATACCTTGCCTCAGTCTTTAATAAGGCTAATGAGGATCTTAGGGATAATGGTAGCATGATAAATGGGAATGAAGATATGAAGGTAGATATTACCATATCTGAGGTAGAAGCGAAATTTGAACAGCTTAATGGGACTAAATCAGGGGGCCCAGATGATCTTCGTCCAAGAAAATTAAAGGAATTGGCACATGAAATTGCAAGCCCATTAGCAAGAATTTTTAATGAATCTGTAAACTCAGGGGTTGTACCGTATGAAGGGAGAATTGCTAACATAGTTCCTATTTTTAAGAAAGGGAAAAAAAGTGATCCAGGTAACTACGGGCCTGTTAATTTGACACCAGTAGAATGTAAGGTCTTGGAAAAAATTTTGAAGGAGTAAGTAGTTAAGGACATTGAGGTCAATGGTAAATGGGACAAAATACAACATGGTTTTACAAAAGGTAGATCGTGCCAAACCAACTTGATCTCCATCTTTGAGAAAGTAACAGATTTTTTAGACAAAGGAAACGCAGTGGATCTGATTTACCTAGATTTCAGTAAGGCGTTTGATACCGTGCCACATGGGGAATTATTAGTTAAATTGAAAAGATGGGGATCAATATGAAAATTGAAAGGTGGATAAGGAATTGGTTAACAGGGAGGCTTCAGCAGGTCATACTGAAAGGTGAACTGTCAGGCTGGAGGGAGGTTACCAGTGGAGTTCCTCAGCGTTCCTAAGATTTGGGACCAATCTTATTTAATATTTTCATTACTGACCTCAGCACAAAAAGTGGGAGTGTGCTAATAAAGTTTGTGGATGATACAAAGCTGGGAGGTATTGCCAATTTAGAGAAAGACCGGGATATCATACAGGAAGATCTGGATGACCTTGTAAACTGGAGTAATAGTAATAGGATGAAATTTAATAGTGAGAAGTGTAAGGTCATGCATTTAGGGATTAATAACAAGAATTTTAGTTATAAGCTGGGGACGCATCAATTAGAGGTAACGGAGGAGGAGAAGGACCTTGGAGTATTGGTTGATCACAGGATGACTATGAGCCACCAATGTGATATGGCCATGAAAAAAGCTAATGCGGTCTTGGGATGCATCAGGCGAGGTATTTCCAGTAGAGATAAGGAGGTTTTAGTACCATTATACAAGGCACTGGTGAGATCTCACCTGGAATACTGTGTGCAGTTCTGGTCTCCCATGTTTAAGAAGGATGAATTCAAACTGGAACAGGTACAGAGAAGGGCAACTAGGATGATCCGAGGAATGGAAAACTTGTCTTATGAAAGGAGACTCAAGGAGCTTGGCTTGTTTAGCCTAACCAAAAGAAGGTTGAGGGGAGATATGATTGCTCTCTATAAATATATCAGAGGGATAAATACCTGGGAGGGAGAGGAATTATTTAAGCTCAGTACCAATGTGGACACAAGAACAAATGGATATAAACTGGTCATCGGGAAGTTTAGACTTGAAATTAGATGAAGGTTGCTAACCATCAGAGGAGCGAAGTTTTGGAATAGCCTTCCAAGGGAAGCAGTGGGGGCAAAAGACCTATCTGGCTTTAAGATTAAACTCGATAAGTTTATGGAGGAGATGGTATGATGGGATAACATGATTTTGACAATTAATTGATCTTTAAATATTCATGATAAATAGGCCCAATGGCCTGTGATGGGATGTTAGATGGGGTGGATGTTATGAGGTCTTATTTGCTAAGTCTTTTCAGAATACAGACTCTTTGGCCCCTCAGTCCCAAGGTACCTTCTCCATGCTTCTGGGGCCCCAAAGACCTCCTTCTTGAGGCCTGTGCTGTGATTCTGCAAGATTTTGCTCCTTGGTTCAGGGCCCCGACAGCCTTCCTTCTTGCAGTCTCCTTTCTTTGTCTTTCAGGAGGCTTCTCATTTGTCTCCAGGGTGGACTGATTTAACCACATGACCTTCCTGTCAGGTGACTACACTAATTTTCCCTATCTGGGGAGGAGAGATGAATGAGTCATGTGCAGGGATGGACCCATTACCTCTTAAAGAAGCCAATCACTCTTTGACAGAGACCTTCGTTAAAATATTGGCAGTTCTTGAGTTTGAGGGTGGGCATATAACAGCGGGGCTGTTGGCTTTTACCTGTTCCAAAAGGCCTGAAACTTTATCACTGTATAGAGGCACATCTTGTAGCAGGATTGTCATGTGGATCACTTCCCCTCCCACTTTAAGAGCCGGAAAGGACGAGGAAAAGGAGTCAGCAACATGTGACTAGCCAGGTCTCCATGGCTCATCAACAAATGTTCATGTTTTGTAGGCCACCAGTGGAGAACCTCTGATCTCTTGGATGGCTCTGCTAAGTGCAGTTATGGGCTATTGCTACTGGTATGTCTGCAGGCAGTTTCTCTCCTGCCTCACAATGCACTCAAGGCAGGCACCATAGTGTACATCCTGTTGTTGCCTATTGCTTAATCTGTGCCTCCCTAAAAACTGACTCTAGCAACAACTTGACCCATGCTTCTCAAAAACCAAGAGTCTAATTCACAAAAGTGATTTGGCAATTGCTAAACATGAACACGTACAGAAACAAATTTGTTGAGAGGCAGAACAATTTTATTCACAATTTAAAAAATAAAATATAGAATAAATACTTATCCACAAAATACATATACCGGTAAAATGTAATATAATTAAGTTAACTTCACAAAATAAGTTTCTCTTATCTGAGTGAGCTGAGCACACATATTATTTCATATTATCCTAGGAAAATACATACATTTTCAAAGTGATTTAATGCTTATGAAAGTTGTTGAGCTGATGGCTTAGGAGACTGAAGTCCTCCATTTCCCCATAGAATCGGTGGAGTGCAAGCTTTCCCCCATCCAGCTTCGGCGTTCCATCTCTTTCCTGGAAGACCTCCTCTGGTGTGGAGGAGGGAGTTCAGTCCTGATGGCTCATTCAGTTCCTGGCTTCTCTGCAGAGACTTCTGCCAATAGTTGGTCCAGAGGTGGTAAGTTTTATAACGTGGCAGGTGTACTTTAACACAGTCTGTACCTAATCTCCATCAATGGATGCTGTTGCACCACCTTCAACATCTAATGTAGTCAAATCTTCTTGATAAGATGCTGCAACAAGCTGAGCACTGTCTACACCAATACCTAAATCATTGCTAACCGCTGTGATTTTTTACTCTTTGCTGATCATTGTACAAAATAAGCTCTACAGCCAAGTCTAGAGAGACCACCAAACAAATAGCAGGTGAAAATGAATTTTGCTAGCTATCCTAAGTTCATTTCAAACCAGTGACTAAGGCCAAATCTACAGTAGAAAAGTTTTGCCAGTATAGCCATGCCGACTAACCCTCCTAATGTAGACACAGCTTGTATCAGCAAAAGAGTGCTTTAACCAGTATAGCTTATGCCAGTTCCCTGAGCAAAATAAGTTATACCAGAAAAAGCACTTTTACGCTGGTATAACTTCATCTTTATTTTTGGGCTTCTTGCTTTCCTTGCTTTGCCACTGTCCATGACTTTTACAGGTAAGCTGTCTATCAAAGATGTTTAAAGAGAGGAGCTTGGTGGTATTATATAGTCATATAGCAATGCCACCTGTGAAAAGATTACTTTGAATCTGGTTTATGACACAAGTGTACCTGATTTTAGTGATGTCACCAAATATGGTTGTCCACGTCATACACTATATACTTGTCACTACATCTGTTTGTCCACATCATAAAACCACCACAGAGCTTGCTATGGTTGTTGATATCTGCTTCGGCGATTCCTTGAGTTGGCATGGGGTGTGCCGGTCATTGTCAAAGCAGGTTGGCAGAGTTATGTGAGAAAAGCACACTGAATAGGATAGTCAGACTCATGATAAATTCCATCCCTTCCACTATTATTTTTCACCCTGTAAGCTTCTGGGGTGATATCCAGGCTTCAGATGCACGACTACAGCAGCCATGTATATGGGGAATCAGGAATTCTGGCCTTCTAATCCCAGTTCTGACAACGATTCCTTCTGTAGTTTTGGACAAACCACCTAACCTCTTTTCCTAAATTTCTCCATGTATGAAATGTGGCTCTTTTAATTTTCTTATCTACCACACAGCAGTGTCAGAAAACTTAATTAATGGCAAAATACTGCTGACCTTACCCATTTGGCAATCCTGTTGACTCCAATGGGATTATTCATATGACTCAAGCAGGATTTGGCCCAGTTATTGGAACCTGAGTTGAAGATGAAAAGCACCAAATAAGTGCTAAAATAATACTAATACTTATAATAAATAGCAAGAAATAGGTACAAAGGCAGTTTCGCCCAGAACTTGCATCCTGAATAAAAGACATTGTGCAAGTCATTGAATTGCTTGTGAACAAAATAGAGGGCACTGTACAGTATAGTTGTGGATTGGTCCTGCTTTGAGCAAGGGGTTGGACTAGATGACCTCCTGAGGTCCCTTCCAACCCTGGTATTCTATGATTCTATGATCTTCATTTGGGGTTTTGTTGATATAAAAATATTGCAAAAAATCACACCCCTAACTGACATTGCTATACAGCAGTGGTGGGCAACCTGCGGCCCATGGACTGCACGCAGGTTTGTTTACATTGACCCTCTGCAGGCACAGCTGCCCGCAGCTCCCAGTGGCCGTGGTTTGCTGTTCCCAGCCAGGGGGAGCGGCAGGAAGCAGCGAAGCCCGTACGGACCTGCTGGCTGCCGCTTCCCACAAGTTGCTCACCACTACTATACAGGCACAGGTTGCCCACCACTACTATAGTGGCACATGTTTCTCATGTAGGCTTGGCCTTAAACTTGAAAGGTTCACCATCCCCTACATTCGGTCCCCTCATAGAACATATCCCCATAAATAGATAATCTTTGCAAGATTAAAATGCAAAGGAAGTATATTTATACCACATCTTATCATCATCATCCCTGTATATGACTCAAACTTTATACCTTAGTTTACATAACACGAGTTCACGCAGTAATTCTCATAATAAGATAAGTCATATAAATATAATTCGTCTGTGAATGTGTATATAATATTCAAACATACTTTATACTGCATTTGTGGACACCTCTAAGCCACTTTTACACCAGTTACATTATTGTTTCTATCCTGACGAATGCTCTTCAAAATACCAGAAAGCAAAAATACGTTAGACACAGTAGTCCAAATTCATCCTTTGTGTATCTGTGCTGAAATCACAGTTATACCAAGGTGAGTTTGACCCATTAAATGAGATAAAACAGGTATTCTGAGCTGGGACATGGGAATATACCACACTGGCATTTCTGTTTCTGCAGCATTAAAATTCCATTTAAAAACAAAAATTACATTCTTGGTCCCGATGGTTGCAAAGGTAATATTCCAAACACAAATCAGTACAGTGCCTGAGGAGGCGATAATATACACGTCTCCTACGTCTTCAGACAGAGAAAGAATAACTCTACAAGAAATTTGAATGTCCCCTGTTCATTTAAATTTGTGTTGACTGTAGAATCTAATAACATCACTCTCAATGTTTTGCTGTTAGGTATTGTGTTTTGATGAAATGTTCTAGTTGGTTTATGAATTTACTCACAGTCACATTTTCTGTATCACAACTTTCCTGCAAAATGAACCAAAAATTGGAAATTACCTAATAAATACTTAACAGTTATAGTTCTTTATATCTTGAAAACATTGGACAAACATTCACGAGTCCTTGCAGACCCCGCAGTCATGTACGTACGCGCATAAGTACAGCAGAGCCCCGTTTATTCGATCTAATTGGGACAGGGGCCAGATTAGATCATCAAAAATTTGGATAACCTGGAGAATGGGCAAAAAGCTTTCTAGTTGTTATTTTAAGGTGCAGAGTTGCTTTTAAACTAGTTGACTCCTCCCAGAAAAACATTAAAACATAATTACAGTATTTATTTATTTACAGTATGCATGAACCAGTACTCCTAGTAAAGAGTACAGTACCAGTTTTTAAAAATGCAGCAATGATCATTTTAACTTGCAACAACAGCAATCCTGTACTGTTTTTGAGTTGCTTGAGTTTATCATTGCTGCATTTTTAAAAACTGGTACTGTAGATGTAATAGTTCATATACGCTGTAAGTGAAGGGGGGGGGTGCGCTAGGTTTTATTGCTTTGTAACGATCCCGTGTATGCACTTTGTTAATACAGGGAGCCGGATAATGGCTAGTCGGATAAACGTGGCTCTTCTATTCTGTACTATGATCCCTTTCTGCGGAGGGGTCAAACTGAGATGTAGAAAAAGGGGGACAGAAACACAGTCAGACAGAGTAGCAGAAAGAGAGAACTGGAATTCATGAACTGCTTTAAACTTTCAGTAGAAAGAGATAAAGAACAGATAAAAGAGAAAAGACAACTAAATATTTGGTCTGACTACAACAAACTACATTGAGATCAGCTGAAGCTGGAGTCATGAGATGTTTAGTGGCTTGTCCATGCTACAGCAATCACAATGCAGAGTCAAAATTTGCCATCTCATTTTAAGCAGAAGTCCCCATTCAACACAACTTAAAAAACAATGGTATGGTATGACCCCTAGAAGTTCCTGATCAATCCATTAAATTATGCTGCCTATGAAGAATGTGTGATCTCTGGAAGAATAAACATAGCGAGGAAATAAAAAGCTACCTGTGTTTTCATGTTCTTTTGAAGTGATGTTTTTAGCATTTTGAGGTTGAGAAAAAGATTTGAGAATTTTTGCATTCCAGGATGTTTTTCCAGGCAGTCTATCCCTTCAAAGATTGTGCTGACACAATCTGCAATCTGAGAAAAAAAAGTTAAAGGAAAAGGATGTTTATTCCAAATGAGATTGAAGAATTGTCAGCTGTTAAATGGAAATGTGTGGTTAAAATAATATTGACTTAGGTTTCACACAGCAGGGTGGCAAATGGATTGTGAAACTGGCTCTGATATTTAATGGCCTGATTTTCAAGTAATTTAGGCAACCAATTGTATACCTATACCTAATTGTATACCTTATATGTATATGTACCAAGACTGCAGGCACACATTAAGTACAATGTGCAAATGGCTGATCTGGCATGCATGATTTTTTGTAATTTCTTAAGCAAATTAGGTGCATGATTGCTTGAAAACAGGGTCCTTAACTGCGTTAAGGTCAGATGAAATAAAGCAGCTACCTCGGTTTCCACCACAGGATGTTATGGCCTTGTGGCTGCAGTTTCAGTGTAAGGCTCTTCACATATTTGCAATTGAAACTGACTGATAAAATATTACATTGAGTGAGAGAGGAATTAAATTCTCTTGAAATTAATCAGTACTATAGAAGTAACAACATTACATACAGAAAACTTTTTAGGAACATTTCACAAATGTGTTTAAACCAAATGTCTACTACTTGGGGGAAAATGTTAATATCTAATAAGCATACACCCTAATATCTCATTTTTTTTTACAATTACTTTATTAAACACTCTCATGGATGTCACTATAACACTAGCTAAACAGTATTAAAACTACACTAAACATTTTGAGGCTCTGTCGTTTTGTGAATTTTACCGAGAATGTATTTGTGTGTGCAGAACATATACACATATGTAGGAAATGCAGAACATATACACATATGTAGGAAATGTGCTGACATTTTAATCCTTATTTCCCTTTTTGTTTGCCTTTTACTGTGATAAGTATTTTATAATGTGGTTGACATCTTGGACCTGGATTAAAGCATCGACTCATTTAAACATGTCACTTCAGAAAATCAATTCTATACAAAATGTGTGTATGTATATGTAAAATATAAAAACAAACTGTTCACTGTCCTTGCTTTCTTTTCATATCACAAACTATTTTTCTTTGAATTAATGTTTATTCAAGGTTATTTGGAGCAAGTGCTTTTTAATTTCATGGTAACTAATATAATAACTGCCTTAAAAAGGCAAATATTCATTTGAAAATTAAATTGAAAGAACAATCCATTTTTCTAAACTACTGGCTGCACAATTTTAGGACATTACAACTTAGTAATGTGTACTCTTCTAGTATCATGAAACTCGTTTTAATCAAATTTTTACTTACATTTTGATGAACTGGGGTTGGTATCCTGACACTCTGAAAGAGAAAATAGCAATTAAAGTCTTCAAATACTGTTTTCATAACACTTATAAAAGATGTGGCATAGTATTATTAAGTTGGTTAACATCTTCACATCTCAGTAAAAAGTAAATACAACACAGATAAAAATGACTACATGTATCAATTCTCAGAAAGGTTTAAGTTGACAGTTACCTGATCTTCTTTCATTAAATTTTTAATCATTTTTGTTGATTTCAGAATTTCTCGAACTGTAATAAAGTCAGGAGCAGCATAGATACTCAAAGCTAGCAAAAGAAAATATACATTCAACGTCATTGTTCTGAAATGCTCAAAGAGGGTCTGAAAACGCATACTCCTGGACTTATACACTACCATTTTATGGTTTCTCTTTAAGGAAATGAATAATTTCTCTTGATTTTTGAGGTTGATAAAACAATCATTGTGTGGGACTTTTTAGAACAAAATATTTCCAGTAAATTTTTTTTCACCTTCATGTTCACTCCTTACTCAAGTAAAACCTCCAAGGAAGTGAGTAACAAAAAATGTCAGGAGCTGGATCTTTGTTCTACATATTATCATTTAAATAAATAATGACTTGACCAGTTGTTGAACTGCTGCCACTCTGATTAATTTCCCAAAATGCAAAGCCAGCCCATTCAGTAATGAGCGGAAGAACACAATAGTTTTGATATGTAAAGAGGCTGTGGTAAAAAGGAGTTTTATGCAAAACACGTGGAATGTTGCCCAGAAAAAAAAAGTAAGGTGGCAAAAGCCATTTGTGAGAGTTTTGCAAAATTCTATTAGAATATCAAAAAATCCACAAAATCTCACATTATTTTACAAAAATTAACTTACAGCCCAGAAGTTGGAAGAGGCAGGAAAATATGAAAACTCCAAGAGGCTGCACTCTATGTGGTGAAGAAGCAAAGTGAAATTCAGATATATAGTGCTTTCCATCTCAGGACTGATCTGTCTCCTTCATAAATCTCCAGCAACTCTACTACCTAGGCCAACTGGACATTCTCCCAGTGTAGGGCAATCCCCAAGGTGATGGTAATTCAACAGATGCAGCTTTGTGCTCTGCCCATTCTCTTTGCTCCAGTGTATTTATCTATCTTAGGTACTTATGTGGCCACTACCACAATATATTTAATGTTGTTACCCTCACAACACCATTGTGAGGTAAGGCAGTGTTGTTATTCCCACTATACCGATGGGAAACTAAGGCACAGAGAGGATAAGTGATTTGCCCAAGGTCACACAAGAAGCTTGTGGAGGAGCGTGGATTTGAACCCTGATCTCCCTAGGCCTGTGTCCTAACCACTGGACTGTCCTTCTCTAGGGAATATGTAGAGGGTACTCCTTCAGCCCAATCCTTTTCACCAGCCACACTCCTGCCAAGCACCCTGCTCCTCTATTGGAAGGGGTGTGGCTCAAGGACGGTTGGGTTCTGGCAATCCTGAGTTTGTGGAACCTCCCCTTTGGGGTCAGAACCAAGTAGTCCAACTTGTAGCAGAGCTTGGGTAACTACAGGGCTATGTCTACACTGCAGTCATTGGATGTGATCACAGCGCATGCAAATATCCCTGAGCTAGCTTTCATCCAGCTAGCTCAGGTACAGGAGTAGTGAAGCTGTAGCAGAATCAAATTTCACTTAATTACCCAGGTAATTACTTAATTACCCAAACCCAAGTGGGTTTGTCGAGCCCATGTTGCCGCAGCTTCACTGCTATCAGCTGCAATCAGGGTGCAGCTTCTGCAGACACATCTGAGTTGTGCTAAGAGGCAAAGCAACTGTTAATTGTCCCCAGGACCCGGAGTACAGAAAGCTGGTTTACAGCCACCTTTGCGCCCATTTCCTCAGCTCTGCCAAGCACAACTTGGGTACAGTTGAGGCTTCATCTCAGGACATTAAGCTTCAGCATTGTCTTGGTTGGACAGTGGTCTTGGCACCACCATTGCTTGGTGGGGTGGTTGGGATGGAAAAACTGCAGTGGTGCTCTGGAGACATGAATTTATCCTCGCAACACCCCAGAGAGGAAAGGAATTATTTTAATTGGGATCCCCATCTATTTGAACCTGAGGGCTATAGCAGTGGCTGGTTTGGTGATCCCTTGTTCTGGAGGAGGAGCAGTGTATTTTATTTACTCCTGCTTTGAGCTGGGGTCCAGGATTTGGCCCTTCTTCTTCATCAGAAGTGGCTTTGAAAGGAGCAGAATGTAAAGAAGCAAGGCCACTGGTTTGTAACTGTAACGTCACCTAAAGCAGAAAGAGCTCTTATGCAGGAGAGCAGTGAGCAGCATTTGGAAGGTAAATAGACGTTCAATGGAGAATGGACTCCACTCTCACTGCTAGAGGTGCTGCTTTCCAGGCATAATGGCAGGGGCAGCTGAGCTGGGTCTGTACTAATTTAAGTCCAGCACACATTGTGGATCAAAAGTATGACTCTCAAATCTTGTGTTGTTGGTGTCCTAAGGAATTCCCTGCTCCTCAGACAGCCAACCCCCCACCTCGCTGACTTCTTATTGTGATATGTTGAGTTGCAAATCACTGTTCGCACGTCAGAACATCGTCCAGAAGGCAAGAGAGCAATGCTTAGACATAGATATAGACAAAAACAACAGTGCAATACAAGCAAGTGTAGACCCTGGTCTGGCCAACACTTACGCATGTAAGTGAATTTAAGCATGGAGACAGTCCCGTTGAGCTCAGTGGTGTGTAAAGCTACTCAGATGTGTACGTGTCACTGGGTCAGGGTCTTAAGCACCAGCACCACTAGAAATAGGAAGCAAAAAGAAATGTTTCCAAGTTGAAAGGCAGAAAAGGGGGATACATTCTAGATACCGGTGGAGGCTGGCATTTTGGCCCTTGGTGACCCAAAGAAAATGTTGATTGAACAGTGATATTATATAAGCTAGTGAATTAATCAGTGACCTTTGAAACTGGTATCAAATGGAAAAGGTCACAATTGGTAAAATGTCTATTCTGGGGCTGGTGAGTGATTTCCACAGCTGATAAAACTGTCTGACATAAAGGAAGAAATCAGATAATGATCTGAATAAAAAAATGAAACAGGGTTGAAAGTATTCAAAATGCCAGCTAAATGCACGTGATGCCAGCTGTATGGGCACCTGTGGCAAACTGCTGTCAGAAGTCTTGGATACAGCACTGAATCACACAATAGATATTCAGCGGAAGTACATCAAAGAAGTTTGATGTACTTTGTATAATTGAAATAAGAAAATACTTAGCAGTCAATTAATTAAAATCTGACACTCTGTTTTATTTCCTAAGTCTCCCTAACTATAAAGACAAGACAACTAAAAGTAAAGGGCCCAATCTTGCTAGCATTAAAGGTAGGGCCATTTGGCTTAAATAGAAATATGGTTGGTCCCCTAACACATTGGTCTGACCCTTTAAGTCTCTGTTGCCTAGGGCAGCATGGTGTGCAAGTTTCTTGAAAATCTAACACCAGTGTGTGTGGAAGCTACAAGTGTCATATTTTCAAAAAAATATATCAGGACAGTTTTATGATAACATTTTTTGGAGTCATGAAATACTCAAGTGCTCCTCATTCTAGATCCTTACTTTGAAAGCTCCACCCAAGTCATCAGTTCATTCGAACTCTATTGCAATGTTGCCACCTGGCACATTATGACAGGCTTTGGCTTTGAGCAATGGTTGACATGAAACGGGCTTGCTACATGACAAGAATGGAACAGGGCATATGAAACATAAGCACTTCCGATGAAGTGAGCTGTAGTTCACGAAAGCTTATGCTCAAATAAATTTGTTAGTCTCTAAGGTGCCACAAGTCCTCCTTTTCTTTTTGCGAATACAGACTAACACGGCTGCTACTCTGAAACCTGTCATAACCAGTATGTCTCCAACACATCTTTTGTACAGTAGAACCTCAGAGTTATGAACTGACCGGTCAACCACACACCTCATTTGGAACTAGAAGTTCACAATCAGGTAGCAGAAACAAAAAATTCAAGTACTGTACAGTACAGTGCTGTGTTAAACATAAACTACTTAAAAAAATGGCAAAAAGAAAAGGAGTACTTGTAGCACCTTAGAGACTAACCAATTTATTTGAGCATGAGCTTTCGTGAGCTACAGCTCACTTCATCGGATGTATACCGTGGAAACTGCCAACCAATTTATTTGAGCATGAGCTTTCGTGAGCTACAGCTCACTTCATCAGATGTATACCGTGGAAACTGCCACAGTATACATCTGATGAAGTGAGCTGTAGCTCACGAAAGCTCATGCTCAAATAAATTGGTTAGTCTCTAAGGTGCTACAAGTACTCCTTTTCTTTTTGCGAATACAGACTAACACGGCTGTTACTCTGAAACCTAAAAAAAATGGGAAAGTTTGAAAAAAAAACAAAAGATTTGACAAGGAAACTGTTTCTGTGCTTGTTTCATTTAAATTAAGATGGTTAAAAGCAGCATTTTTCTTCTGCATAGTAAAGTTTCAAAGCTATATTAAGTCACTGTTTCAGTTGTAAACTTTTGAAAGAACAACCATAAAGTTTTGGTCAGAGTTACAAACAACCTCCATTCCCGAGGTGTTCGTAACTCTGAGGTTCTACTGTACTCATAAAACCCCTCAAACCCTGAATGCTTTGATTGATGAACTGAAATACCAGGACATTGCAGGCATTCAGAAGGAAGTTCTTGGGACCTTGGGGCATCATGTGGAAAACAGGACTGGTCTGATAAAATCATGACACACAGTTTCTTTATCCATGCAGATACAATTAAGGCTAAATGTTAGGTCTAGTCAGTAGGCCGTGGAAAGTCTCTGCTCACCGTTGCCTTGCTACTTTACTCTCCAATGACCAGGTGTACGTTTGAAGCTCATCATGCTAATGAAGTGCTTAGCTATGTCTTCACCTCTTAAGCTTCACTCCTGCTACTGGGCAGCCACCAGCAGCATCCTCATTGATGCAGGGCCTGGGTCCTTTCTGTTTTTTCCCTTGCTGATCACTTTTTATCCTTTGTGCCTACACATACTGCACTCTGGTCTTGCAGAATGCAGAATCAAGCCCCTTTAATTGTTAAAAGCGCAGTTAAGGATGTTGAAGAATGACCTAATAGTTACTAATTTTGGACTATACAAAGGGGATAAAAGTAAAATTATTTACGGGAACTGCTGTCAGGCTACCATGCACTATGTAAACACTAAAACCTGTAGCTGGAATCATTACGTGAAAATTGCAACTGTCTGCAATGGCAGTTTTTGCTCATTTCATCTAGATAACCTTAGAGTTATGTAGATAAGATAAAGTATATTCACTGATAAAAAAAAACCCACTTACTTAACAGACAGTTAAGATTGCCCAGGGATATCTTGTGCCTTACAGAATATTGATTTCAGCAAAACTCAAGCCTCTGAAAACCAGGAAATAAGGTTGCAGAACATGCCAATGCAAACTTATTTCTGACCCCCACAAAGCTGCTATTACCACTGGCAATCATCTTCATGCACTCCAGCAACATCAGTGTGTTAGATGTAGTTGTATTGAGTGGTGGAGGGATTAATTGGAGAAGCTTGGCAGAGCTGTGACTGTGATATGAGGTGACATGGGGCGGGGGCCTGCCTCTCAGGGGAGGAGGATCTGAGTGCCTCTGTCTGCCCTTCA